ATTGTTAAAGAAAATTGCCAAAACTCATAGCACATTAGGCAGAACATATGATAAGATGTTTTAACAAAGATACAGACTCAACAAACACACTTCTGAGAAAAGGTTGACCATAAATCCCTAGAAAAAAATACAATCAAATAGTGAAGCAGCACAACAAACATCTCTAAAAAAAAAGTTTAAATTAATTATGATTGACCGAACAGTTTATTCTCTAGGATGTGGAGAATGTGAATCTCTAACACACTGCTGAAAAATGTAAAAAACTACAATCAGTTAAAGTTTATTTTCTATTTTTAAAGAATAGTTTCATAATCTTTTGAGAGAAAAGGGTGAGGAAGAGAAACATTGATGGAAGAGTGCCATATGGGCCAGCCGCCCCCTCCACAACCACTTCTGTGGATCTAGCCCACAAGCCAGGCACATATCCCACTGGCAATCAAATGCACAACCCTGTGCTGCATGAGATGATGGCCAAGCACCGAGCCACACTAGCACTGGTGGTATATTCTGTTTAGATCACAATTTTCTAATGTTGGTAAATTTAAACATTCATTTACTCTAAAACCCAGACTATGCACTGAATTTTTGACAAAGGTAAATAACACTTACATACATATGAGAAATTATACAGAAATGTTTGTACCAGCTTTGTTAGAAATAACCAAATATTTATTAAAATGGACAAACTGATGGTGATATTTCAATGATAAGAATACCTATCAGAGCCGAAACCGGTTTGGCTCAGTGGATAGAGCATCAGCCTGCAGACTGAAAGGTCCCAGGTTCGATTCCGGTCAAGGGCATGTATCTGGGTTGCGGGCACATCCCCAGTGGGAGATGTGCAGGAGGCAGCTGATCGATGTTTCTCTCTCATCGATGTTTCTAACTCTCTATCTCTCTCCCTTCTTCTCTGTAAGAAAATCAATAAAATATATTTAAAAAAAAAAAAAAAAGAATATCTATCAGAACCCTAACTCGTTTGGCTCAGTGGATACAGTTCTGGCCTGTGGATCGAAGGGTCCCAGATTCCATTCTGGTCAAAGGCATGTACCTTGGTTGCAGGTACATCTCCAGTAGGGGGGGTGAAGGAGGCAGCTAATGAATTGATCGATGTTTCTAACTCTGTACCCATTTCCCTTCCTCTCTGTAAAATCAACAAAATAAATAAATATATATATATATGTGTGTATATACATATATATATATATATACATACATATTCAGCGATTTGATATTTGAGTTTATTCTTCATTTAACTTTTAAAACACTACTATACTTGAATATTAAAACAAAAACAATAGCAAGTAGTGAGCATATTAAGGTTACAGTCCATCACTCATTCCCCACTGTATATAAAATGCCAGCAGTGTTATTCCCTGGACCCATTAAGTGGTCTGACACTGAACACCACTGCTAGGATGATGGTCATCATCCTCATATACTTCTCCATTGTAATGGTGCATTCTTTCTTGATTTGGATCAAAGTCCACCCGTTCTACCTGGTCCATTTCATCCACCTCTTCTACTTCCTTCCTTTCAGGAAGTAGTTTTTCCAGGAAAGGGAGTTTATCAGGAGAGAGAAAGCCATTGTTAGGAAAGTTTCCCTTCAATTCGACGATTAGGCGACCCTTTTCATATGGTCTACGATAAATTGGCATGCCTTCATTTAATACACACTTGGTATCTCCATACTTGTCAATCTGACCTGGATGAGAGGTGGTGACTATGGTTCAGTTGTCCAGAGTACCTATTGGCTTTTGGAAGCCACACAATGTTTCATCCAGCAGTACATCCATACACATGAAAAGGTGTTCTCCTCGTCAAGCAAAAACAGCATGGTCCTTCTGATCTATAAGAATGATAATATGTCCTGGCTCCAGCCCTGGGTCCTGGTCTCCTTCACCATGGAATGTTATCTTCTGGCCATCTTTCAATATGAAATTCCAGAATCTTCTCTCAAACTATCTTTCTTCTGTTGCAGCTTTTGCATCAATCTTTAGGACTGATCCTTTCCCCATGGCCCTGGCACTCCATGCACACAGACTGAATTTGCTGAACCATTCCAGGGCCGATCTGATGATTGCTTTCTTGCATTCCAGTTCCTCGGCCATTGGGACAGCACTCTACTGCTCCTTTCTAGCCACCTTGACCTTCACATTTATCACAAATCACATACTTTTGTAGAGCTAGTTTTCTCGCTGCGCTATTATCTAAGTCTTCTAAGGTTACGAAGAGCTGATGCACAATGTTTTTACCTCTCCTTTCTCTCTGCATCCTTCCTTCTCCACCAAAAACATATCAAAGATGTCCATGGGAGAACCAAAACAACCACCAGCTCCACCTTCCATAATTGCGTGGTCTCCTCCTTTATCACTACGCATCCCTTAACTTTGCATCAGAGAGCACTTCGTAAGCTTGAGAAATCTGTTTAAACTTCTCTTCTTCATTTGGATTCTTATCAAGGTGATACTTTAAGGCCAGCTCCCTATATGCCTTTTTCAGTTCTTCCTGGGTGGCACTGGGTTTGATCCCCAAAATATCATAGTAAGTGGTTGCTTTCATCATATTTGACAGCTGGTGCGCAGGCCAAGGCAGGTGTGGAGGAGCTGGAAAGAGGGTGTTGCTGCGCGCGGCTGAGGCAGCCACCGCTCCTGAACCTCACACCGAGTGTTCTGGACAGTTTCCTCAATAAAATATATTATTTTTTTTTAAAAAATATCTATCAGGAAAAAAGTTGAGTTACTAATATAAGTTGAATAAATCTACAAGTATTTATGCAAAATAAATTAAAGCAGAAAAATACTCAAAGAAAATAAAGTTCTCTATGAAAGTGAAATGTAAATCCTGGAAACTAGGAAAGCTGTGAAGAACAGGGACAGGTTAAAAGAGGTCATGAAGCAATTACACAGTGTAACATATAGTCAGCATTATGACTATAATGATGGTTTCGTTTCATGCACATGTCAAGATTTATGAAACACTATACTTAACACATATAACTTACTCATTACAACTGTTAAAAATGGTTCTAGATAAGACAAATGTACGCTCATCTATTTTGGAGGAACAGGTTTCGCAATTCTATATTCATTCCACATTCATATGCCCTCTGGGTGAGAGTCTCATGTCAGTACAGAAAATGTAACATACGATGAAGAACTTTCACCCAAACCCACAAAAGCCACATCCTTGGACTAAAGACAGCCTTTGTCTCCATCTCCGTTTTGCTGCCTGAGCACCAATGGTTCTGATGGGAACATCTGGGAAGCTACAAGAGCCACAAAACATCTTGATTATAATCAATGACAATGACAGCTCCACAGAAAATAAACATGCATGGGGTCCCTCCGATCTGCGTACACAGAGCTCCTGTAGTCTCTTCCCCAAAATAATTCCTGGATGCACAATTAGGTGAGGACCCTTCCATCTAATTGGCTGCAGTTTTGTCCAACAATAATTAGGTCAGTGTTCCTGCAGTGAAAGGGTTTTCTGTTGGGGGCCAGATGTAAGCTGGCAAGGTCCTTGCACCTGTAGGGGCTAGCAAGGCTGGGATCCTTACCCACACAGTTTTCCCAGACTTGTTTAGATGGCGTTTATCAGTAGAATAAGAGCAACATTTGTAAAATGAAAACAGCCTCTCATAGCTTACTAAAAAGTCTGTAACTATTTACTGAGATATGCTATACTGAGAACTTGTCCTTCTGCTGTGTCCTTCCCTTAGAGATTAAGAGGAACAAAGAATACATTCCTCTTGATAGACCTCCTATTCAGTATATTATATATAAATAATATTGTATGGCTAATAAAGTTGCTTCAGTTCATCAAGAGAACTGGAGTCCTCCCGACCCCGCTTTCCTGTCTTTCTTTCTTTTCTCAATTCCCACCTCCCTGCCTCAGCCCGGCTCAACCCTGTCAGGCTGGCCCTGACAGTTTCCCTCACTGCTATGGTCCTCAAACCAGTGATCATCACTCGTGAAATTGTAGGCATCAGGGCACATGGCCCTCTGCAACACCTGGGCAAGAGATACCTTCACATGTATTGGCATCCCTTGCAAACAAGAAAAAAAATTCATGTTCCCAGACATACTTGAGGTTGTCACAGCTACCCCCTCTTTGGAGTGACTGCTATGTCTCCAAGCATCCAGACATCACATGAGGATTAGAGAGTCCAGAGTATTTCCTAGGAAAATAAGGGCAGCAGTGTAAGTTTGCCAAAAACTGCTGAGCTAATCCTGCACCACACTATTCCCCCAAGGGCAAAAATGTTTGAGACCCCACGGAAGTGGTTCACCTCATCATGCTTGGAGAGCCCCGATCTCCTTAAAGCTAACCCACACAGTAAATAGAACACCCAAGATTAAAGAAGTATTACGAAAAGCCTTCATTATTGTACAAACCAAAGAGACAGGAGACTGGCAGTTCTTCCACTGATGACTCAGGCACTCAATAAATTCATCACTGGCATTCAGGGAAAGCATTCCCTCTGCAACATTATGTTTACTGGGGCCAACAATAATGAGTTCTATGTGACAACGCATGACAGGAAAACAAGAAAGAACTATGAACTCAGGTATTCCTCATTTTTTTCAACAAAAAAGACAACAGAATTAGCTTCCCCGGGCACATGAGGATGGTGATTGATGCCATTTGTAGAGACCTTATAGATGGTTCAGATAAAATACCTTCTACAACAGAAATATGCGCTGCCATAGATCTGGCAGAACATCTCTGTATGTTAGAACGTGCAACATAATTACACAGTGTTCCAACATAGAAACAAACACAACAAGAACACTTATGGGAACTTTACATAATGTAGGTGATTAAAAGTATGAGATACAATTCAGAAAAATGAGGATACATAAATTTTCTTGTACTAATGTTAAGATCTAACTAAGAAACTACATTTCCTACACATCTAAGAAATTACTCACATTTGGACTCAGATGTGCAGAGCAAATTTAGAAATTTGGCTGAGAGATACCTCATATTAATTGCACTCATGTTTTTCTCCAGTGTGAACTCTCTGATGATATTGAAGACCACTGCTCCTTGTAAAAGCTTTCCCACATTCACTGCATTTATAAGGCTTTTCTCCTGTATGAACTCTCTGATGATAATGAAGGGCAGTGCTCTGGGTAAAAGATTTCCCACATTCACTGCATTTAAAAGGCTTTTCTCCACTGTGAACACGCTGATGATATTGGAGCGCACTGCTACGTGGAAAAGATTTTCCACATTCACTGCATTTATGAGGCTTTTCTCCTGTGTGAAGTCTATGATGATAATAAAGAGCAGAGCTCTGGGGAAAAGATTTTCCACATTCAGTGCATTTATAAGGCTTTTCTCCTGTATGAACTCTCTGATGAAAACGAAGGTGAGTGCTCTGGGTAAAAGATTTCCCACATTCACTGCATGTATAAGGCTTTTCTCCAGTGTGAATTCTCTGATGACAATGAAGGGCAACACTAGTGGTAAAAGATTTCCCACATTCACTGCATGTATAAGGCTTTTCTCCAGTGTGAACTCTCTGATGATAATGAAGGGCATTGCTCAGTGCAAAAGATTTTCCACATACACTGCATTTATAAGGCTTTTCTCCTGTATGAACTCTCTGATGATCACGAAGTGCACTGCTCCGTGCAAAAGATTTGCCACAATCACTGCATTCATAAGGCTTCTCTCCAGTGTGAACTCTCTGGTGATATTGAAGACCACTGCTACTTTTAAAGGATTTTTCACATTGACTGCATTTATAAGACTTTTCTCCTGTATGAACTGTCTGATGATAACGAAGCTTAGTGCTCTGGGTAAAAGATTTCCCACATTCACTGCATTTATAAGGCTTTTCTCCCATATGAAATCTCTGATGACGACGAAGTCCAGTGCTACTGGTGTAAGCTTTCCCACACTCACTGCATTCATAAGGCTTTTCTCTCGTGTGACCTCTTTGTTGATAATGAAAGCTAGATAATTTGGTAAAATATTTTCCACATTCAGAGGACATAAAACACCCACTTCCAAGATGGACACCTTTTTCCTGAATAAAGGTGTGGGTGCAACTAATGTCTCTCTGACATTCTTTTCTACTGTAATAATTTTTTCTCCTTTGAAATGTCATCGCACACGTCGAAATTGCAGTTGGACAGTTCCTGGCCTGAATGGCCTTTAGGTGTAAATGTCCTGACCCCGTAAGACACCGTGCCCAACCTCCCCGCATGTGAAACGACTCTGGGACACATTGAAATTGCAGCTGTTTGCAAGTGAGATCCTGTCCACACCTCTAGTGAAAGACTTCTCTCTCATATGCTGCTGGTGAAATTTTGCTCGGAAATAAAATTGTTTTGCACATGCCCCACACCTCAACAGTATCTGTCCGTGTTGTGTTTCCTGACCCTCCATCACGTGGAAAATGTTTCCCAAGACTAGCCCACAACCCTCACAGGGGTGGCTCTTCTGGGAAGACAAGGCTAACTTGGGATTCCTTGCCTGTGACAATCTTACAGAAACCTTCTGTTCAGTCGTTTCCTCCATGTTCTCTGCTCCACAGCAGCAACCTGAAGAAAAGAAACGTAGGTAAAGTGCATGTTGACCTGATAAATACAGAATATCTTCACCACAATTGTTTATGTCACAACTGGACATGATTCAAAAAAATGATTTTCAAGACAATTAAGCGAGACTCTCAGGAAATGGCTGTTATATATAACATGGCCCAAATGGTCACTGGATGAGGAAAATCTCACCAAGGGAGGACAGAAGCATAGGCTGGCACAAAAAGAAGAGAAGCAGGGTCTGCTCGTTATTACTCCACAAATGGCTTCCTTTAGGACCTTTCATACTGGTGATATGAGTCTGTGTAAAATAATTTCAATGTGCTCAAACCCATAAAATATCAATCATAGTAAAGCACATGATGTCCAGCGTCAATATAATACGGGTGCGCTCTAAAGCTCTGCAGGCATGCAACAACACTGGAGTGCAGTAAAGCCGAGATGTGTGACAAAGGTAGAAGTGCAAAGTTTAAAGAGGTTAAGGATATTCTGGGCTGGGAATTCGAGTAGAATGATCACTATTAAAACTGAGTCATAGGCAAAGCTTCAACCTTAAGCATGAACAAGTAGAATTGGGTGAGGAGTGGGCAATGGTAACTAAACATTGTTGATCAAAATGGCTTCCTAGTTATGAACGTAACAGAACCCAGGCATGAAAACCGCCCCCACAGCCCTTCACCAGGGCAAGACTGCCTCTGGGTCTACCCTGTCATTGATAAAGTCATGTTTCTCCTGTGACGCCCAAAAGATTTTGCCTCTTAAATCCAAGTTGAACCATAGCATGAGATAAATGATAGAAATCTTAAAAGAAAAACTAAAACAGGGTATGGTCAGCACTGTCGTAGAACGAACCACAGATGGGATCACAGAGAAAAGACCTATGTGAGTGACTTCAGCAAGACGGCAGAATAGAGAAAGAGAATCTTTGCCCATCCTAGAGTAAGTAGAAAGCTATCTATAAAAAAAAAAAAAAATCCCAGAGGAAATGGGAATAAGAGTATCATGAGACAAACAGTAATACAGAATATCAAATAAGGACAACTGCATAGAAAGGATGACAGGAAACTGGGTGAGCAAACACATTTGAAGATACCGAAGGTGAAATACAAGGGTTAATAATAACTAAGTAACTAACTAACTAAATGAATAAATAAATAAAGCAAGTGTCAGCCTAGCCGGGTTGCTCAGTGGATAGAGTGTCAGCCTGTCGACTGAAAGGTCCAAGGTTCCATTCCATTCAAGGGCACATGCCCAGTTTTTGTGGGTTCAGTCCCCTGTAGGGGGCATGCAGGAGGGAGCTGATCAGTGACACTTTCTCATCATTAATGTTTCTCTCTCTCTCTCTCCCCCGACTTCCTTCTAAGAAATTAATAAAAATATATTTTTTAAAAAGAGGGGTCATCCCTCATCAGTTGGGCTCAGGGGATAGAGCATCCACTTTGTGGACTTAAGGGTGCCTGGTTCAATTCAGGTCAAGGCACATGACTGGGTTTTGGGCTCGGTCCCAGCTGGGGGCCCCGGAGGGAGGCAGCCAATTAATGATTCTCTCTCATCACTGATGTTTTTATCTCTCTCTCCCTCTTTCTTGCTGTCTGAAATCAATAAAAATATATTGTAAATAAAAAATAAAAATAAAGGGTCAGCGATACCACTATCAGCACTGTGCTTCTGTTCTTATTGATCCTAGTGGCCTGTTCTCCAAAAACCTGGAAATTTTTGTTTCGAAAAACCAAACAATGCCCTGGCCAGTGTGACTCAGTTGGTTGGAGCAGCGTCCTGTGTACTGAAGGGTCGAGGGTTCAATTCCCGGTTAGGGCACGTATCAGAATGTGGGTTCCATACCCGGTTTTCAATTGTGCACATGTCAGCCGATTGATGTTTCTCCCTGATCGCTCTCCCCCCATTTCCCTTCCTCTCTATGTAAAAGGAATAATAAATAAAGACATAAGAATTTCAGGGTAAACAGAAAAACAAAAAGAGATCTCAAAAAAGTCTAGAGGCAAAATAAATAACAAGACAACCTACCAAAGCTTATGGATAACATTCAGAAAATGTAGCCCTAACTGGTTTGGTTCAGTGGATAGAGCACTGGCTTGAGGACTGAAGGGTCCCAGGTTCAATTCCGGTCAAGGACATGTACCATGGTTGGGGGCACATCCCCAGTAGGCAGCTGAATTGATGTTTCTCTATCATCGATGTTTCTCTCTGTCCCTCTATCTCCCTTCCTCTCTGTAAAAAATCAGTAAAATATATTTTAAAAAAGAAAATGTAATTCTAAGGAGAAATTTTATAGAGATAAATGCCTACATTGTCACTAAGAACCTAACATGGCACCTCAGGAAACTTGAAACACAACAGGAAAGTAAACCAAAGGTTTCAGAGGGAAGAAACCATAAATATTAGAACAAACATAAATAAAAGACAGACAAGACAAAGGAAAGGAATACCTAAAAGGTATATTTAAAAAAAAGATATAAAAAATGTGCAAGCCGTTAGCTACACTAAAGCAAAAACAAACAAACAAAAACCAAGCCTCAAATTAGTAAAAAATAAATTAAAGATAAGACATTACACCTGTCACAGTGCATCATAATAGATGTTGATGTTAGGAGACGACATGACCCTTCATAGAGAAATTTGTCAAGATCCCACTATGAGCTCCCGAAATTAATAAACAAGGTCAGAATCCTGTCCAGGTGGCTCAGTTGTTGAGTGTGTGGCCCTGATGCCCCAAGGTTGTGGGTTTGATCCCCGATCAGGGCACATGTAGGGGACAACCAATGAATGCACAGATGGGTAGAACAGCACATCAATGCCTCACTCTCTTTGTTTCTCGCTCTCCCTTTCTGTCTCGAAAGTCAATATTTAAATGCTGCCTGGTATGTCTCACTGATTGAGCATTGACTCATAAACTAGGACAGTGGTGGGGAACCTATGACACGTGTGTCAGAGTTGACACGTGAACTCATTTCTTGGGTTGATTTTTGTTCAATGGCATTTAAATATATTAAATAAATATCAAAAATATAAATCTTTGTTTTACTATGGTTGCAAATATCAGAAAATTTTTATATGTAACACGGCACCAGAGTCAACTTAGGGTTTTTCAAAATGCTGACACGCCAAGGTCAAAAGGTTCGCCATCACTGAACTAGGAGGTCACAATTCGATTCTTCTTTTATTTTATTTTATTTTTTTCTCACAATTCGATTCTTTGTTAGGACACCTGCACTGGTTGTGAGCTCAATCACCAGTGGGGGGTCATGCAGGAGCCAGCGGATCAATGACTCTCTCCTCTCTTGCTCTGGGAAATAAAAAGTACATATATTTAAAGAAATAAATAAATAATTTAAAGAATAAATAAATATCCCTAGCCACTATGATCACTGATGACAGTGCTGTCTTGTGCACTGGAGGGCTAGGGTTTGATTCCCAGTCAAAGGTACAGACCTGGATTGCAGGTCCGATCCTAATCACAGTAGAGGCAACATATGGGAGACAGCCAATCGATGTTTCTCTTTCTCTCTGT